AGAAGCACTGGGGGCTCTGGGAGCCCAGAAAGGGCAAGGAGCACGGAGGGCTTCCTGGAGGACGTGAGGGTGAGCTGCACTCAGGCAGGACAGAAGAGACAAGGAGAGCATTCTGGGCAGAGGGAGCAGCCTGGGCTGGGGCTCAGAGGGCAGCTGGAATTGCTGGAGATGGAGAAAGAGCTTCCTTTGGCCAGTGCGGGAGGTCGGGGTTGGGGAGAAGAGACCAGGAGGGCACCAGGTTAAAGAGCGTGGTTTGGACCTGTTGGTGAAGAGGGAGCCACATAGAAGTTTTAAGAAGAGGAAGGATGGGGTGGGAGCTCTGTTCTGGAAGGAGTTTCTGTTTTGAAAACATCCTCTGGTGCTTGGCCACATGGGTGTTGAATGGGGGCTGGGTGGGGCTGGGTGGGCAGAGGACCGAGTTAATAGAGTGGGTGATGGGGTGTCCGGGTGAGAAAGGACAGAGACTTGGCCTGGAGCATATTCCAGAGGAAAGGTATTCTTTAACTCACGTCTTCCTTTTGAAAAGTAAAGCTTTAGAACCCAAGTGATACTCGAGAACACAGGATGAAGAGTTCTCCCACGGCCTGGTCCCCAGTCCCCACTCTCCTTCCCCGGAGGAGACCACATCTGTGTCTCCTTCCAAAGAGATTCTGTGCATTTGCAAGCCGATCTAGCCTTTGTATTTATTCTTTTCTCCCCCTAATTATGAAAAGCACGTACAGAAGGGTTGAAAACATGGTAAAATGATCACCAACACTGCCTAGATCTCAAATGGGAACGATCCAAGCTCCATTAAGAGGGAATTGTCTACATAGATCATAACACCTCAGTCAGGTTGGTTAAAAAAAAAAACAAAACAAAAAAAAAAACACGAGTGAAAGGCTGAAGTATGTTCAGTGGTCCAGTTAACTCCCTTCAGCATGAGAAGAGAGAGGAAATAAAAGTTCATACATCGATTTGCCTATTTTCACATAAATAATGCCAAGATAAGTCTGAAATGGGTAGAAATCATTATCTCTGGGCAGGTAGAGGAGATGGGGTAGAGAGAACAGGAGTGGAAGAGAGACATCTGTTTAAAATGGATCGACATTTCAACTATGTAAATGTTCTAGTGTCTTTTTTTTAACGTTTATGTATTTTTGAGAGAGAGACACAAAGCACGAGCGGGGGAAGGGCAGAGAGAGAGGGAGACACAGAATCCGAAGCAGGCTCCGGGCTCTGAGCCGTCAGCCCAGAGCCCGATGCGGGGCCCGAACCCACGAACCATGAGATCATGACCTGAAGGGAAGTCAGACGCTTAACTGACTGAACCACCCAGGCACCCCGATGTTTTAGAGTATTTAAAACAAAATCAAAGAAATGGGGAGGAGGGGGAACCACCATACTGGCAACAAACAGAAACAAAAGGGATCGGACGAAACATCTCCTTGATGGCAGAACCACTGAGACAAAAAGTTCTTCTGAGTCAGTCATCCAACTGCCCATCCTCTGTGGCATCTATTCTAAGAACACACAAATCTGTAGAGAAATCCCAAGCTTAAGTCCCACAGCGTTATGGTTAGCAGTAATATCCAAACTGTGTATTTTGATGGATAAGTAAAGGTGCTACTGTTGATAGGAACCAAGATTTTTAGTGTGCGAGACAAAGAAAAATATACAATCAAAATGCTAAAGAAAGAAGAAACACGTGTGAAATTTAAAATGAAAAATCCGTATTAAAAAATCAGACTAGTTATATTTTTCAGTAAAAAGGCCCAGGAGCAAAAACATACACTGTGTCTCCCTCCCTCCCCTTCACCCCGCTCCTCCCCCCAAAACTTCTGCTTTAAAAATGTTTCTCTGGAGCACTGGAGTGGCTCAGTCAGTTAAGCCTCCGACTCTTGGTTTTGGCTTAGATCGTGATCTCACAGTTGTGAGTTCAAGCCCCACGTAGGGATCTGTGCTGGCCGTGCTTGGAATTCTCTCCCTCTCTCACTGCCCCTCCCAACTCATGCTGTCTCAGTCTCTCCCAAAATAAATAAACAAACATTAAAAAAAAAAAAAAAAAAAAAAACGTTTCTCCAATGAAGCAGCATTCTACCCGTGTTTTGCACCTTGCCTTTTGCTGTTTTTATTTAAGAATATGGCTGGGAGCTTGTTCTATGTCCATACCTATTGATTCACCTCTGTTCTTTTTAATTTGAAAGGATGGATGATATGTGTTGCAATAGTTGTAAGCTCTCAGACATTTCAATCAAAGAATAGATGCATTTTTTTTTTTTTTTAAGTTTACTTTTTGAGAGAGAGAATGTGTGCACGCGCCCGGGTGCATGTGAGTGGGGGAGGGGCAGAGAGAGAAGGGAAGAGCCCAAAGCAGGGCTCGAACTCAAGAACCATGAAATCACCTGACCTGAGCTGAAATCAAGTCAGGTGGTCGGTGAGACTGAGTTACCCAGGCACCCCAAGATGCGTTTTTTTTTTTTTTTAATTAAATTTCATCTGGTTTTTTGAATCACGGCAGCATGTAAAATCAAAAAGATATAAAAGGGATTTCCTTTCCTCCCACTTTTCTGCAGAGGCAAACCCTGATTTGCTTCCTGTGTCTCCTCAGGAGCACACTGTGCATGTGAAATTGTTTTTCTTTTTAAACCGTCACAAGCACAGAGCCCTTAGTACGTGCCAGGCCCCGTTCTCAGCATTTGGGGACCTTCCGAATTAAGTGCTGTCATCCCCATTTTGCATCTGGAGAAACGGAAGCATCCAGGTACGTTGGCTGAGCCACAGTCACACAGCCTGTGGCAGAGTGGATTTTAGCGCAGGTAGGCGGGCGCCAGGGTCCCCTCTGTGTGCCCATCTTCAATGTCAGCGGCTCTTGCCAAAGTGGATAGAAATGAAGAAGGGGTGGGCTTGAGTCGACGGGTAGGAGGCTGAGAGGAGCCCTGAATTTGCCGGGACCTCCCGCTCCCCATTTCTCTCCCCAGCTCCCCTGTAGGGGCTGGGGCCCACAAGCTTCCTTCCACCCCTGCTCCTCCTTGCAGATGCCTTCTGCCAAAGACTCCACAGGTGCGGCAGATGCCACTGAGTCCCACATTGTAGGTAAGGCTCTGGCCTGGGGTGGCTGGGTTCTCCCCAGGCCTGCTGGGTGGGCTCCGTGGGCCTTCGGGTAGAGCCCCTCAGCCAGGGCTCCCTGGGCACGTGTGTCTCCATACCAGGCATCCAGACTCCTGATCAGCAGGCTGCCCTGGCCCACCACAACCCAGCCCGGCCTATCTTCGTCGAGGGCCCCTTCTCCCTGTGGCTCCGAGACAAATGTGTCTATTATCACATCCTCAGAGCTGACTTGCTGCCCCCGGAGGAGAGGGTGAGAGCCCAAAGCTTGAGTGGGGGGCATGAGTGTGTGTGAGGTGGGGGTGGGCTGGCACCACCCTGAGGGCTCATGTGAGATCTCAGAGGTGCAGGGGGGAAGGGGAAGGGAGGGATAGCCCCTGGTGTGGGGGGATAGGCTTCAGCCGGCTGCGAGATCCTGGGCCTCTGACTGCCTGCACCCCCTTCCCCGGGTAGGAAGCGGAGGAAATTCCAGAGGAATGGAACCTCTACTACCCGATGCAGCTGGACCTGGACTATGGGAGGAGCGGCTGGGATGACTACGAGTTTGACATCCATAAAGGTACAACTGGGATGGGCACCAAACACCAGCTGAGGTGAGGCCTCTGGGGTGGAAGGCTGGCACCCAGGCTGAGACCTAGCCCAGTCGCCACATGCAGACCCAGCAGATGCCCAAGTACGTACACGTACACACACACACACACACACACACACACACACACAGCTCACTCCCCAGGGGCTCCAGGCCTGTCAGCCCTGGGTCATGGAACACCTCTGTGCTGGCTACCGAGTGTGACCAGGACAGGCTCAGTCCTTGCCCTTAGGCAGCTCTGGCCAGTGGGGGAACTGGCAAGTCAAGTTATATTCTTGGGGCCTAAGGGGAGGAGCACCAGGCTTCAGGTGGGGTGTGGGGAGGACTTCCTGGTGGAATGTCAAAGAACCAGGAGGCATCACTTAGGTGAAGCATGGGATTGGCAGTCTAGACAGAGGGGATATCTTGTGCAAAGGCTTGGATGCGCAAGAAACATCCGCCTGTGGCCCGGAAGGGGTGCAGGCACGGGGGCGCTGCTCCAATCCCCACGGCACAAACTCTGAGCGCCTGTTTCTCCCAACAGTGGAGGAAGGCCCTGTCTTCGCCATATGCGTGGCGGGTGCCCACGACCAGGCCACGCTGGCCAGGTGGATCCAGGGCTTGCAGGAGACCAACCCAGGCCTGGCCCAGATCCCCGTGGTCTTCCGCCTGGCGGGGTCCACCGGGGAGCTCCTGGCGACCCCCTCAGGACTGGAGGAGCCGCCCCCGCCCCCACCAGAGGGCCAGGAAGAAGAGGAAAACAATCAGCAGCGACAGCAGCAGGGACAGAGCTGAGGCTGACTGTGGACTAGTGTAATAGCATGAGGTGCCCTTTGAATGTACAGCGAATAAAAGTTTTCCGGCTCGGAGCGGCCTTCTCTCTTCTCTGACAGCGTGGCGTCTCTGCCCCTTTAATGTTTGGTGGCCTGGTTTTTCAAGGGGTCTGCGGCATCCGGGACTGACAGACCAGACCCCAAGCTTTCCCTTTGTCTTCACCTGACAGCTCCTACCCATCCCTTGTCACCCTCAGGATGCATTCGGAATAAGTCGTGGGGAGAGGAGCCCCTACCTCCCAGGGTCTACGGGCCCATCTAGGTCTTTCTTCCCGAAGCTGGGCTCAAACCTCAGCCCTTCCCTCGGTCTCTGAGAAGTTAGAAAGTTTAACAGAGGAAAGGAATAAAAGAACTGGCTGTTGCTAGCCCTCGCTTGTCGCGCGCATGCGCAGTTTCTGCTCCCGTTCTCCTTTTGGCGCCGTGGGGCAGTGAAAGTCCAAGAGAAATTTCCCGTCGGCGCGGAAGATGCGCGCCACTTCCGGCCGGGCTCCTAACAACGGGGGAGGTTGGTAACCAGGGAGGGGGGGATGGCGGAGCGGGCGCCGGAGCCCGAGGCGGAGGCGGAGGCTGAGGCGGGCGCAGGCGGGGAGGCGGCGGCCGAGGAGGGCGCGGCGGGCCGCAAGGCGCGGGGTCGGCCGCGGCTCACGGAATCGGACCGAGCCCGGCGGCGGCTCGAGTCCCGGAAGAAGTACGACGTGCGGCGTGTGTACCTGGGCGAGGCTCACGGGCCCTGGGTGGACCTGCGGCGCCGCAGCGGCTGGAGCGACGCCAAGCTCGCAGCCTATCTCATCTCGCTGGAGCGCGGCCAGCGTAGCGGCCGCCACGGGTGAGGGGGCCCGGCCCCAGGGAGGGAGGGAGCGAGCGAGGGAGGAGACGCCCCCATTCCCCGCCGAGCGTGGTCCCGCCCCCTCTGTCCACGGCCCCGCCCACGGCACCTGTGAGCCCCGCCCAGTGTCCGGGCTGCCGGCCGGGGTCTCCTACCGCCGGTCCTGGGACGCTCCTGGCTCGCGGCCCCGCCTCCCGCCTTTCCGACTGCCCAATCCTGGGATGCGCCCAGCCTCTCGACCCGCCTCCTGACGCTTGGCCCCTCCCGTTAGATTTCTGGCTGCCCAATCCTAGTACAGACCCCACCTCCAAGCGTTCTAACTGCCCAGTCCCCGGAGGGGCGGCCCCGCCTCCTGAGGCCTTAATGCCCCTTCTTCCCTGCTGGTCCTTGGGATCTCACAAGCCTCATTCTCTACAACCCTTAGGTTGTAGTCTGAGACTGTGACTGGACACCCTGGGGGTGTCCCTGTCCCGTATAAGGTTCTGGCACTCCATCTGAGACTGTGTGTGGCCTCATTCCCACAACCTTCCACCCCAGATACGGCAAGACTCCTCACGATCCAGATCTCATTCTCTAAACGTCTTGGCTCCTGGGGAGCACCTTAACCCATAGAGACTCAGGTGAAGAGGAAGCCCCAAGTTAGCGGCTCAGGTAGAGGGCAGAGGTCTTTGCGGAATCTCCATCTTGAGAAGGAGCGGTGTGGATGGAATTTTTCCCTTCCTGCTTTATAGGTCGGTGTGACGACTAAATGAGTTAAAATACAACAAAAGGCTTAGAACATGGTTGGCACATAGTGAGCACCTCAAGTATTAGTCGTTATAATGATACTTGTTCCCTGTCACAAGCAGTGCCGCGACAGAATCCTTGCAGTGCCCTGGTTTTTGTTTGCATACATTGGCATGTTTCCCTAGGGGAAGATTCTGATGGCCAAGAATCCACCAGATCCTTCTGAATTGCATCCACGCCCTCCCTGGGTGGCAGACTGGTTTATATGCCCAAGAGTGGAGCAGGAAATGCTGGGCATTTCAAAAACTCAAGCTCATGTTGCATTATTGGAGTTTCTGATTCAGTTAGTCTGAGCGGGGTTGCAGACCTTGTATTTTTTTCTGCAAAGCTTCCAGGGAGACATGTGCAGGTGGAGCTGGGGACCACTGGCCAGAGGGAGCCCTTGAAGGTCCCTAAGCTGAAAGTGCTATTTGCAGTAGCTTGGTTTGTGTAAGTCATGCAGGACTGGGGCCTGGACACTGAGACAGCCCAGGCAGTGCATGACAAAGACCGGGCCCTGGGACACGTGGGTAGTCGGGAAGATACAATAACCTGAGTGAGGGGTGTCCTGTGGGGAACGGACATGGCCAGAGATAGGGGGCCCGTTACTTTGTCTGCTCACTTATTTGTAACTGCCTTCTACCTGGAAGGATTTCGGTTCAAGACTCTGTAAACATGGACCAGAAGGCAGAAATGAGAACTGGGATGAAAAGAGAAAGGAAAAAGAGGGGTACAGGGGGGCCAGGATCAGTGCTATTGGATTGAGGCCTAAGTCACAGGGGACACGACAGAGGGCACTTTTGTGGCATGTTAAGTTAAAAGCCTGACCAGAGTTCGAAAGACGTGAAGAAGTGGGAATGGAGAAGAGGCCATGAATTTGCCTCAGAGCTTCCTAGCGACCAGTGGGAAAAGGGAAACAATGGTCAGTCGTGGAGTCGCTGGTGTCATTCGTTTAAGGGATGTTTATTCAGTATGTACTATGTGCCAGACACTTGCAGAGGTGCGGAGGGTGCAGAAAGGAACAACACAAAAAAAATCACTGCCTGATGGAACTGCCAGTTAAAAAATTTTTTTAATGTTTATTTGAGAGAGAGAGAGAGAGAGAGAGAGAGAGAATGCACGGGGGAGGGGCAGAGGGGGAGGCCCAAAATCTGAAGCAGGCTCCAGGCTCCGAGCTGTCAGCACAGAGCCCGACGCGGGGCTCAAACTCAAGAGCCGTGAGATCATGACCTGAGCCAAAGTCAGACACCTAACCGACTGAGCCACCCAAGGCGCCCCTGGAGCTGCCATTTTAAAGGGCAGAGGGCAGACTTGTCCACTGTGCAAAGCCTTGTCTACTGCACTTACTACATGTTTCCTATTATTTATTATTCTAAATTACATTACTATACTATAAATACTAAATTCTATTACTATAATTTGCTAAATTGTGGAGGTTGTGAGAGATCGATAGGGGCTATGGAAAAAACAAAAGTGAAATAGGGAGGGGGGGTGTGTGTGCTGGAGACTTAACTAGGGTGTTAGGCTGGGCCACAGTGAGAGGACGGCATTCATGAAGGAGCCAGGGAGACCTATGCAGATATCTGGGGGAAGAAAGAGGAAAAAGGATTGGCCAGTGCAAAGGCCCTGAGGCAGGACCCGGCCTGGTGTGTACATGGGGCAGTGAGCCGGCCCATGTGGCTGGAGTGCAACGAGAAGATGAAAAGTGGGGAAAGTGAGGACAGGAAGTTGACAGAGCCTTGTGGACGGCATGGAGAACTCTGGCTTTTCCTCTCAGTGAAGTAGGGGGCCTGATAGGATTTTTTGCTCTTGTTAAGTACAGAATTTTGGACAAAGAGGTCACATACCTGGCTTATATTTTAACAGAGGCACTCCCTAGGGGCTGTGTGGCAGGAGGATAGGGTGAAATGCGAGTTGAAACAAGGTTGGCTGAGAACTGGCTGCCGTCGAAGGTCCTCGGGCCTTGGCTGGTGAGGGGCTCGAGGAGGTTCACTCTTCTCTCTAGCTTTGTATGTGTGTGAATTTTTCCTTTTACATCTTAAACTGTTAACAAGACAATCAAAAGAATCCCGCTGACCCCTACGTTGAGGCTGTGTTCCTATGTCGAGGCGACTACCTTGGTCCAGGTGAGTCCTGAGAGGGCCGGGCCCAGGCGGGGCCATGCAGTGGTGGAGAGAAGTGGTTAGAATTAGGGCCAACAGGGTTTGCCGATAGGTGCGGAGACGCGAGATGCCCCAGGTTTGGACCTGAGCACCTGGAAAGTTGCAGGTGCCGTTAACTGAGAAAGGGCAGGTCACGGGACCGTAGGACGGCTCCCGTGTGAGATGTCTGGGGACCCCTGCACGTAGTGTCAGGGAGGGCTGGCGGTGGTGGTGCGGTCAGGAGAGGGCCGGGTGGGAGATCCGGATTTGGGACCCACAGCACCGTGATGGCATGGTGACAGAGGTTGCCAAGGGCGAGTGGGGAGACACGCAGGTCTGAGCCCCGCTTTCGCTCTCTGCGCTTAGAGAAGTCAGGGTCACAAGGGAGGAGCAGAGGCCTAGAGGCGCGTGGAGGACCCGGCGGGGCAGCGTCCTGGAGGCCCCTGGAAGGATCCGCAGGCGGCTGGAACGGGGCAGTTTGTGGCTTGGGGGAGAAAACCCTGAGCGGAGGGGTTCAAGGGAGATGGGGGAGAAGACAGGAAGACTGCACGCACATAGACGGCTCCCAAGCGGGGGCAGGGGAATGGGCAGAAGTTGGCAGAGAAGGGGCTCAAGATTATTTAAGTCCGGGGTGGAACTGGTGGTGTGTTTGGACACGGGTGGGGATGAGGGGTCAAGCGTGAAAGCAAATGGCAGAGGAGAGCGGAGGAGAGCTACTGGGCACAACTGTCCTCACGCGCAGGTGGCCTCTACAGGGCGTCGCGTAGGCGGTAGAACGCGGAGAAGCGGGCAAAGGGAGGGATGGCAGTTTGGGGGAGAAAGAACATAGTCTGGCCCCATTGAATCCCCACAGCGGCTCTGTGTGAGAGGCACCACTGTTTTCCCCACTTCGCAGGTGGGGACACTGAGGCTCAGAGGGTTCGAGACCCACTCGCGGTCACACAGCTAGTCGACAGCAGAGAGGAGACTTGGACTCAGATCTGACTGACACCCGAGCCTGTCCCCACCACTAAGTGGCGTTCCCAGCACCCCAGTCTTGGCGAGGCTGTGAGTGCGGGGAGGGGGCCGTGGGCATTTGGACTTGGGTTTGGGTGAGGATCTGGGTGGCCGGCCTGCCCCCTTGGAGAGCAGGGGAGGGGAAGGGAGGGGAGAGTCATGGGAGGGGGTGGAGGGCATCTGGGATGGGGCGGGGCGGGGGTGCAGAGGCTGGGACAAGGGCAAAGCCTGGGGAGCTGTCCTCGGACCAGACGTGGGGCGTGGGGACTGAGAATTGTCATCAGGCTGGACGGGGGTCAGATGGGGCGGGTGGGGAAGCTGACAAGAGACTTTGGACTGGCTGTCAGGACATTTGCGGTGAGAGCAGGGTCTGGGCCATGGCAGGGAGGCTGGCGCTCCAGGGCCAGACGCTGTGATAACGCTGATGGTCACGGTGAGACCATCGCTATGCTGAGCGGTTACCCAGTGCGAGGGGCTACATCAGGCTCTTCCAGTGCGCGTAACCTCATGCCAGCCCCACGAGGCAGGGACTGTTACGATCCCATGCTACAGATGGGGAAACTGAGGCACGGGGAGGCAAGGTCACGCAGGGTCTCGGGGCCTCCCACTGCGGTGTAGAGAAGGGAGGATGAGGAAGTAGCCAGAGTGCGTGGGCAGACCCAGAAGCGTGGTGTCAGGAAGGCGGGTGAAGGCCCCTAGTGGGTCCAGGGGAGATTACTCCAAAGCACCCGCCCTTAGCACGTGTAGACCCGGTGCTGGGCCACGGCCAAGCAGCCTATAGGGGGTCAGGATCCCACCTGGCAGTTCTGGCGGCCTTCCTGGTGTGGGAGGCCTTGGGGCAGGGGGGGTGGGTTTGGGCCCGGCCTTGCCCAGGGCTCCCTGACGCCTTGGTCACTGGGGCACACAGTTAGGGTGCGGGGCCCCGGCCAAAGTGGGGAAGGCCCCAGAGGCGGGTGGGCGTGATGGCCAGGGCGTCTGGACCTGAGCTGGCTCCCCGGGGCGGGACTGATAGAGGGAGCAGCACCTTGGGCTGGGGCCTACATACAGCGGGCAGTGAGGGTCGGGGGCAGGGTCCCTAGCAATACCAGCCCTCCTGGCTGGGTCTGGCAGTCTCCCCAGGGCTCTCAGCCTGCCTGGGGTTGGGGGCGGGGGGGCGGGCAGGATCCGCAGGGGCCCGGATGGGGCAGTGCAGGTTCTGAGGCCGACTCCGCAAATGTTCTATTGCTGTCTGACAAACGACCACAGACTTAGTGGCTTAAAATCACAAATGATGTCACATTTCTGTGGGTCAGGAGCCCAGCGAGTTTTAGCTGAATCCTCTGCTCAGGGTCTCACAAGGCCAAAATCAGGGTTTCAGCCAGCTGCGTCTTCATCTAGACGCTCAGCTAAGGAAAGAGCTGCTTGCAGACACCCTCAGAGCGTTGGCTGACTTAATTTCCTCCTGGGTTGCACAGCCGAGGTCCCCACGGTCTTGCTGGCTGTTGACCGGCACTGCCCTCAGCTCCCAGAGGCTGTTCTCAGGTCCTGGCCCCTCCTGGACCTGCCATATTCTCAGCCTACAGTCTCTGACTGCAGCGGGGCCCGTTTAAAGGTTCCCCTGATTAGGTCAGGCCCACCTTGGAACGCTTCCTCCTGATTCATTCCAAGTCACCTCGCCCCAGGGGGTGGTATCCCATCATATACTCAGGCCGCCCACTCATGGGCAGAGGATTCTGCAGGGCATGTTCCCCCGGGCATGGGAGTCGTGGGGCCAGCTGAGAATTCCGCGTGCCACACTTTCTGTACCCCTTTTCTGACTTCTCTGCTCCCCGGCCATGGGCCCCTGGGCAGGCAGCCTCACTCCTCTGAGCCTCATTCTCCCACGTGGTGAAATGCGTGGTGATGCTAGACCACCTTTAAGGGCTGGTGTCCATGGAGGAGAGAGTGGAGACCCCTGGGAAATAGAACAGGCCCTGTGCTTACTCCCCCTGCCTCTCTCTCTTACAGGAAGCCTTGGGAGCAGGTCCCCAAAAAGCCAAAGCGGAAGAAAAGTAAGTGGGGCTTCAGCCGGGGCGGGGGGGGGGGGATGGGATGGGTGTTGGGAGTAAGAGGCTTTGTTGTGCGTTCCCTCACTCGTGCTCAGGCACCGCTGGCCAGGGGCTGTGCGGGACAGGACAGACCCAGCCGTGCCCCCACGTAGCCCATGGTCTCATGGGAAGGCAGGGGACAGGCCCAGTGGGGCCATGGCAGGGAGGTAGGGGCACTGCGGGCCCAGGGACACAGCCAGGCCTGCGGAGGGGAGAGGGGTGGGGGCAGGAAAGTTCCCAGAGGGGACTGGAACGTGTGCTGTGCCCAGTGGGGGTGCCTCCGCCATCCCCAGCTCCCACACAAAAGGCTAAGTCACCACTGGAAAGCGGTTACAGTTGTCAGAGGCATGGGCCAAGCTAAGTGTGTGACCTCCATATCCCAAAGTGTGGGAAGGGAGCTGACTGGAGAGGCTGCTGCTGGTGGTGTCCCTATTTGCCCGTGGTCGTCACTGGGTGGGAGGCCCCAGGCAACCCCCCTAGGCCCAAGGACCCTTCTGGGCCGCCTCCTCATGTCCCAGCTTGGAAGACGGGGAGGACACTTTCTTCCCCATCGGCTGCAGGACAGGCACCATCACACATATCACAGGTACCATTTCTTGGGCATTCAAAGTGTGTCCAGCCCTGTTCTGTGCCCTGCCGACGTCTTCACTCCCTCCTCTCTGGCAGCCCTCGAGAAATGGGGACCATTATTCTCCCTGACCCAGAAAGGGGAGGTGAGGGTCAGAGAAGCCAAGTCACTTGCCTGGAGCCACCTAGCTATGATGTGGCAGTCAGGATTTGAATCGCACGGTCTAGCTCTCACGGGGCCCACCTCCTTGAAGCATTTACTCATCCGGCAAACATTTGCTGAGCATCTACTATGTACCAGGCCCTACGTAGGCATTGGGGATACAGGAGGAACAACACAGATAGCGTCCCTGCCCTTGGGGAGCTGACATTCTATTAGGGAAGACAGAAACACGGAAACAGATAACCACAGACGGTATCTAGGTGCTACCTGGAGAGAAAGGGCAGCAAGTCAGGTCAGCTGGAAGGACAGTGGGGAAGGGGTGGCAGACCGAGGGAAAGACCTGAGAGGGGGAGGGCAAGGCAGTTATCTGGAAGAAGAAGACACAGTCTGTGCAAAGGCCCTGAGGCAGGACCGTACCCTGCTCATTTCAGGAACAGGGAGGAGGCCACGAGGCTGGAATAAAGTGATCAAGGGGAAGGACGGGAGGCGATGGGGCAGAACATTCGGGGCCTGGCGGGTCGGGAGAGGACTTTGGCTTTTACCCCCAGCCAGGGGGAGCCCTGGTGGGTTCTGGGCAGAGGAGGGGCATGGCCTGACTCCAAGTGCTTGCAGCAGGGGCCTTCTGTCCGCCGCGGGCGAAGTAGATAGATGTGGGGGCAGGGAGACCAGGGCAGAGGGGCTCTGCTGGGCCAGGCCAAAGACGCTGATGAGGATGATTCTGTTAACAACAGGCAGCTAATAATTACTGCGCACCTACTACGTGCCAGGCTCCATCGTTTATGTGATTTCGCTTATTCAGTGAGGACAGCCTGGCCCGCCTCTGTTATCAGCAGGGTGTGTGGCACCTCCCAGAGCCCGTTTCTCCATCTGTGAACCGGGGACGGGCCCGGACAGGGCTCGGGAAGGTGTCTCAGCCCCGCCCCCACCGGGTGCCGTAAGGCCGGGGTGTTCCGAGGCCCTCGGAGGGACAAGCGCCACCCCTGACCCCGGGGCCCTGCCACGCGTGCGCAGGGAGGCGACGCAACGTGAACTGTCTGAAGAACGTGGTGATCTGGTACGAGGACCACAAGCACCGCTGCCCGTACGAGCCGCACCTGGCCGAGCTGGACCCCACCTTCGGCCTGTACACCACAGCCGTGTGGCAGTGCGAGGCCGGCCACCGCTACTTCCAAGACCTGCACTCGCCCCTGAAGCCACTCAGTGATTCAGACGCCGACAGCGACAAAGGTGGGTCTGGGGCCCGGCGGGGGGGGGGGGGGGGGCCGCCGGCCTCCGGGGGGGGGGGGCGCTACGGCCCCTTATGGGGGGGGGCACCCCAGACCCCCGGCCCTCTCGTGGGTCTTGTCAGCCTCAGGCCAGCACTAGAAGCCTCACAGTGACCAGAAAGGCACGGGCGCCGGCTTCAGGGACAGAGCCCGGCCCCGGCAGGCTGGTCTGCACTCTTCCTGTCCTTCTGGAGCAGAGAGGCGGCCCCCGTCTTCCAGGGGACACCTGCGAGGGCTTGGCCCACCTGTGCTCAAGGCCGGTGGCAGGCAGGGCCCGGCTGGGGTGCGGGACACCTGGCTCAGCGGCTGGAGGGAGGGGTGGGTGCCGGGCCTCAGGCCTGGGTGCTCGCCCGGCCTCTCCCTCCTCCTCTGTTGTCCGTGGCCCTTTCTCTTTCGGTCCTGGGCGCTCTCTCCCAGCCTCCTCTTCTCGCCGCCTGTCTGCCCGGTTCTCCTCCTCCCTCCCCATTCTTGAGCTCTCTCTTGTTCCCCCTCCCTCTGTTGCCCATCTTTTCTGTTTCATCCTCTCCCTTCTGTTTCCTGCCTTTTCCCTGCCCCCCCGTCTCTCCCTGTCTCCCCGACTCCCTTCCCCCCCCCCATCTGTTTCTCCCCCCACTGCCCTGCGCGTCTCTCACTGTCCCTGACCCTCTCTTGCCATGCTCTGTGGGTCACACGTCCTGAGCTGACAGTGGGAGTGGGAGGGACTCAGTTACGAAGGCCCAGTTGGCCCTGGTGGGTGGTGAGGAGCTGCCCGCCTGCCTCGAGCTCGGCTTCAGCCTCGGGCTCAGGAGCACAGGGCTCACCGCCAGGCGCCCTGCCAGGGTGGAGGGTGAGGTCAGTCACCGGGGCTGAGCCCGTGCTGGCAGGAATCTCGGAGCAGGTGGCATCCCAGCTGGCCAAGGGGAAGCCGTGGGCGAGAGGTGTTCCAGGTGGGCGCCCTGGCCAACGGCTGTCCCGTGTGCGTCCGCCAGACCCCACCACGCGGCCGGCCCCTCGGCCATCGTCTCCCCACTCGGGGTCCCGCCCCCGACCACGCTCAGTCCTCCCTACAGCTCTTCGTTAGCCCCACTTGGCAGTTGAGGACACCAAGGCCCTGGGACTAATGTGACTGACCTCCCTGGTGATGGGTCCGCCGGGACGGGGATGGCACCCAGAGGAGCCCCCTTGCGCCCCCACCCAACTCTGACACCGGTGGCTGGTGGATCTAGCTCTCAGGAATGAGTGCAGGGATCCTTGGCCGGGTCTGCCATGGCTGCGGGGGAGGGGGGCGCTGTGAAGGGAGGGGGGCTGTGTCCCTGTCCCAGCCCTGTTCCCTCAGCAGCACCCTTATCAGCTCCCTGCCTGGGGTGGCCCTGCCACTTCTCAGTAAGAGGACCTCCTGCAGGACTTGGAGAAGCCAGGGGGTGCACAGCCACTTCTGTGACCAAGGTCATGGTCAAGTGGGGAGAGGTCCAGTCTGGCCTTCAGAGCTGGACACTGCAGTTGGGGATCCAGGCACACACCCTGGCCGAGCCCCCAACTAACTAGCTGACTGCCCCTTGCTTTAGGGTGGGGCCAGGGAGCTCAGCTCACCCTATAGATTACAGGGTGTTACAAGGAGGGGCCAATCCCCCTACCCCACCCCTGCTATCCCAGGGCCGTGAGTCAGGGATGGGGCGTTATGATAAGAATGATAATAGAAACATTGATAGGGTGCTTACTCTGAGCCTGGTACTGTCCTAGGCCCTTTACATATATTTACTCACTAAATACCCCAAGCAGCCCCTGGAGTAGGTGCCGAGTTATCCCCAGGCCCACACAGGTTCCATAAGGCCCCCACATCCACACAGCTGGAGGGGTGGGCGCCAAGATCCCACCCCCGAAGTCTGGCTCCAGAGCCTGCGTGCTCCATCTGACCCCCTGGGAGTGTAGGACATGTGGTCCCCGGACAGTGTGCCCGACTCTGCGGGAGTGTGGAACGTCAGGGTCAGCTATTGACTTTTTCTTTCTCTCACTCTTCTCTCTTTTTTTTTTTTTTTTTTAAGTCTACTTATTTTGAGAGAGACAGAGACAGCATGAGTTGGGGAGGGGCAGTGAGAGAGGGAAATCGAGAGAATCCCAAGCAGGCTCCGTGCTGCCAGCACAGAGCCTGATGTGGGACTCGAACTCTGGAAGCTGTGACCTGTGACTCTCGAACTCGACCCATGAAGCCGTGAGATCATGACCTGAGCCGAAACCAAGAGTTGGACGCTAACCAACTGAGCCACCCAGATGTCCCAACAATTGGCTTTTTCTGTTCCCAGTCTCCCTGTGTGTGGGCTTTAGCACAAAATACCTGGGTGAGATGTCGGTCGCCTTGGCCTTCATCACGGTGTCGGTTTGAGATTCATTCATTTCTACAAACATGTGCTCAGTGTGTGCTAGGCGGCCTTCTGGGCACTGGGCCCTGTGCACAGGGACCCCAGTGGTTATGGAGCTTACGATCTAGAGGGGAAGCAGACAGTAAACAAGATAGACCATTAAAATGTAGAGTACAGTGGAGGTTCCTGGGTGGCTCAGTCAGTTAAGCATCCGACTTCGGCTCAGGTCACGATCTCACGGCTTGTGGGTTTGAGCCCCACATTGGACTCTGTGCTGACAGCTCGGAGCCTGGAGTCTGCTTCCGATTCTGTGTCTCCCTCTCTCTCTCTGCTTCTCTCCCTTTTGCACTGTCTCTTTCTCTCTCAAAAATAAATAGATGTTAAAAAAATTTTTTTTAATTAAAATAAAATCTGGAGTACGGTGGAAGGTGATATTTTGGGGAAAAATAAAGGAGAGAAAAAAGTGATATTTAAGACAAGGTGGTCAGAGGCCTTCCTGAATAAATACCATTTTCTTAAAGGGTCTGATGGAGGTGGGGGTGAGGGAGCCCACGCAGGTGTCTGAGAGAAGAGTGTTCAGGCAGAGCAAAGAGCAAATGCAAAGGCCCTGAGGCAGGAGACTGCCTAGGGTCCCTAAATACATGACCTACACTGGGGGGCAGCAGAGGAGGCGGCGGGATGGAAGAGCCCCCAGCCCCCACAGGAGGTCCAGGTGGCAGCTGTCCACATGGAGGCATCGGGGTATGGGTGAGGGCAGTATAATGAAAATAGGTATTTGGTCTTTGTCCCCGGTTCCTGGCATAGAACTCCTACAGCCCTTGGAATTGTCTGAGTGATGGGAATATTTTTCATTGTTTGTGAAGAGCCCTTTTCATAAGGAGCCCCTTTGGATCACGCCTGAGTCTATGCTAATGAGGTGACTCAGGCAGGGTCCCCTAGAGAGCTTCAGGATGGGGACTGGTCACCAGAAAGACCAAACACATGATTAGAGGGGGGACTCTCAGCCCCACCCCTGACTCCCAGGCAGCAGACTGGGGCTGGAGACTGGGTTACAAAAACTCTTAAGTAACAAGATCCAGGGAGTTTGCAGGTTGGTAAACACCTTGAGGTTCTAGGAGGGTGGCGCGTCCGGAGAGAGCATGATAGCTCCCACCCCAGCAGCCCCTGCACCTCACCCTGCGCTTCCCTTCCATCTGACTATTTGCTGTGTTGCATCTTTTATGATAAAAGTGTAGTCGTCAGTTGGGGCGCTTGGGCGGCTCGGTCGGTTCAGCGTCCGACTCTTGATTTCGGCTCAGGTCACGATCTCACGGTAGTGAGAGGGAGCCCCGCATCGGGTTCTGCACTGAGTGTGAAGTAAGATTCTCTCTCTCCCTCGCCCTCTGCCCCTCCCCCACTCAAGCACACACTCTCTTTCTCAAAAAAAAAAAAAAAAAAAAACCCCAAAACCAAAAAACTGTAGTCAGTAAGTAAAGCACTTGCCTGAGTTCTATGAATTGTTCTAGCAAATTATCGAACCCGAAGAGGCTGTCGTAGAAACCCGCCATGTGTGGCCAGAATCACAATGGCCTTCGGCCTGCAGCCGGCGTCTGCAGTGGGGGCGAGCAGTCTTGTGGGACCTGAGCCCTTAGCCTGTGGGATCCGACACTCTCTCCAGGTAGATAAGCGTCAGAACTCAAAACGAGTTGGTGTCAGGACGAGGGCAGTTTAACACCATCAGGCGGGCTGAAACCCTGGGGCGAGCGAAGCGCGGAACCTCCCAGGCCTGCGGGAGCTGAAGAGGCTGAGCAGGAACCCCCAGGGAGGGGCCAGGAAGCCAGCATTCGGGTCTGGAGGCCGAGGGAGGGGAGCGTCTCTGAGGAGCAGAGGTGGGGGAGCGGGGGGGGGGGGGGACTGAGAAGTGACCGATGTTTGTGGCACTGAGGGGGTGACCGTGCCCAGCCCGTAGTAAGCACTCAGCATACGCCTCTGCTGCTGCCACTGTTGCTACCGTAACTGTCTCCTTTCCTCTGTCGCCACAGTGGGCAATGGCCTGGCGGCCAGCAGCTCCGACCCTTCTAGTTCCGGCTCCGGTTCTGACTCGGAGGAGCCCCCCGAGGGCCCGCCGGCCAAGGGAGCGGCTGTGGCGGCGGCGGCGGTGACCCCCTCCAGCCCGGCGGGCAGCAGCGGGCTCATCACTCAGGAGGGCGTGCACATCCCCTTCGACGTCCACCACGTGGAGAGCCTGGCGGAGCAGGGCGCCCCGCTGTGCCCCAACCCGGCGGGCAGTGGGCCCGAAGCCCTGGAGACGGTGGTGTGTGTGCCGGTGCCCGTGCAGGTGGGCCCGGGCCCCGGCACCCTCTTTGAGAACGTGCCCCAGGAGGCGCTGGGCGAGGTGGTGGCCAGCTGTCCCGTGCCAGGCATGGTGCCCGGCTCGCAGGTGATCATCATCGCAGGCCCGGGCTACGACGCCCTCACGGCCGAGGGCATCCACCTCAACGTGGCAGCAGGCAGCGGTGCCCCCGGCGGGGGCCTGGGGGACGAAGTGCCCTGTGCCGTGATGGAGGGCGTAGCAGCCTACACCCAGACGGAGCCCGAGGGCAGCCAGCCCAGCACCATGGACCCTGCCGCCATGGCAGGCATCGAGACCAAGAAAGGTCTGGGGGCCGCGCAGGTCCAGGGGGGCTGCCGCGGTCTCTGGGAGGTGGGGGGAGTGGGGAGGAGTGGCCCCGGAGCCCACTCCTCCGCCACGCAGGCCCTCCACGGACACCCGCCCTGTGTCCACCTCCCCCCGTAGAGAAGGAGGACCTGTATGTGCTCAAGAAGGAGGAGAAGGAGGAGCCTGTGGCCCCAGAGCTGGCGGCGGCAGCGCCTGAGAGCGCAGAGCCCGAAGCCGAGGCAGACGGGGAGGAGCTGGATGGCAGTGACATGTCGGCCATCATCTATGAGATCCCCAAGGAGCCCGAGAAGTGGGTGCCCGGGCAGCTGGGGGCTGGGATGAGGAGCAGCCAACGGGCCCACAGCCTGCCTGGCGTGGGAGCCCTGATGCCATGGGCCCCTTCCCCTCCAGGAGGCGGCGGAGCAAGCGCACTCGGGTGATGGATGCCGACGGCCTGCTAGAGATGTTCCACTGCCCCTACGAGGGCTGCAGCCAGGTCTATGTGGCCCTCAGCAGTTTCCAGGTGAGGCCGCCACCGGAGCTGGCCGAGCGGGGCCCGCTTCTGTTTCCCGCCGCCTGTGTGCTGGCGTCCGGGCAGTGTGGCTCGTGGAGGGCGCCGCTTGGCCCCGCCAGGTGCCACTGGCCTGCCTCCCACGCGGCTGTCTCTCAGCAGCTTCTCACCGACCCTGCCTCAGCCACAGGGCACCAGGCGTCACCTCACTGCCTTCCCCTCCTGCTCTCCAGTGACTTGTCCTGCCTTCTCAACCAGCCTCTCAACTCCTCCTGCCTTTACCCAGGCCACCTTCTCGGCTCAGGATGTCCCTCCCCCAGGAAGCCCACCCTAGTCCCCCAGGGCGGGTGGGGCCTTTGAGCCCCTGATGACCGCACCACCAGGACACACCTGTAGTTTGTCCTCTGGAGCCTGGACGGGACGCCCCAAGGGCAGAGCCAGGGTCTCGTCACGTTCCCACTGGTGGCAGGAGGCGGCACCAGTGGCCCTTTGCATTTGCCGAGTTTCGTTTTCATTAAGCATGTATTGAGCACCCACCAGGTGCCAGGCCCGGTGCCGGGCACTTGGAGCTGCAGGGGTGCTGCAGGGGTGAGTTAAAGAATAAAAGAACAAAGGAATGAATGACTCTGGGTGGCAGGGAGAGCGAGGTGGCTGCCTGCTCCAGGCCGTGGAGACAGCGTAGCTCCATGGCAAAGCCTACTGTGGGAGTTCACCCTGGAATCCAGTCCAGCCCTTCCCCTGCCCACCTGTGAGACACACGCCAAACTGGAAGCCTCTGGAGCCTCATCCGCCATCCACAAAGTGGGCAAAGGGCGGGGCCCCAGCACAGGGTTATGACAAGGCTGACTGATGCCCCAGCCCAGGCCCTGGCTGCAGTAGGTGCACAGTGAAGTGGCAGTAGATTCCAGTTGTGCCCCGGGGTCCCTGCTCAGAGCTGGGAGTCCCTCCCAAGGGCAGGGGCACCCATCTTCCTCCAGGGGGGCTGGCCCCAGCCTGCCTCCCAGCTCCCCTTCTCTGTCCCCACCCTGGGGAGCCCTGGAGGTGGCCCCTGGCACCCACAGCCCCGCTCCACCCCTCTTGCCTGCAGAACCATGTCAATCTTGTGCATCGGAAAGGGAAGACCAAAGTGTGTCCGCACCCTGGCTGTGGCAAGAAGTTCTATTTATCCAACCACCTGCGGCGGCACATGATCATCCATTCAGGTCAGGCCCGGGGTGGGGCTGGCAGCACGGGGCATGGGGTCCTGGGCCTCAGGTTTAGGGTGGGGTCAGGAGTCCCCAGGCACAGGACTACCACCCAGGGTGTGGGCTGCGGACTCATTGGGGAGCTGTGTTGCCTCTGTCCAGTGGGAGGGCATGGCCTCAGATTTTTCGAGCGGCAGGAACTTTGGATTTGTATGTGAAGTCGCCCCAAAGTTCAAATATTGGGGTCAAGTTCAGACCCGCTTAGGCTTGGCAGTTTGCACACGGTGCCTCCCAGGGAGTCGAGTTCACATTTCCAGCTCTGCCGGTGGCCTTACCCCGCACATTCTCAGCATCACCTTGGGCTGTAAGCTGCCCTCCGTATTAGCCGCCCTCGTTTTTATAGTCAAGCGTTGGCTCTCAGAAGCTGTGGGGTTTGGGTCGCTCGCGCCCCTACGTCCGGGAGACCACTCTCTACCCGGTTTGGGCGGCGCCCTTTAGCCCCCGCCCCCAACGGCGTCGCGCTCAGCCCCGCCTCTCCCCCAGGTGTCCGTGAGTTCACCTGCGAAACCTGCGGCAAGTCCTTCAAGAGGAAGAACCACCTGGAGGTGCACCGGCGCACCCACACCGGGGAGACGCCCCTGCAGTGAGTGACGGGCTTCCTGCGAGGGCGCTGGGAGGGAGGGGGTCTGGGCCCGGGCCGGCAGAGGGCGGGGGCGGGTCCACCCCTCGGGTTGCCTTGCCCAGTTCCACGTGCGCTCGCATCCCGGATGGCGCCTCCCCTTTCTGGGGCCGGCTCGGTCCTAGTAACTTGGGGCCCGCCTCCAAAGGCGGCTCCGCCCCAGTCTGACCCCGACCCGGCGGCGTCGCTCGCCCCGGCCCCCCCGGCAGGTGCGAGATCTGCGGCTACCAGTGCCGGCAGCGCGCGTCGCTCAACTGGCACATGAAGAAGCACACGGCCGAGGTGCAGTACAACTTCACGTGCGAGCGCTGCGGGAAGCGCTTCGAGAAGCTGGACAGCGTCAAGTTCCACACGCTCAAAAGCCACCCGGACCACAAGCCAGCCTGACCCATCCAACCACTGACCGCCCCTATTTATTCGTCCACTCGGACACCACGCCTGGGCTTGCTGGGGCCCAGACAGCCGCGGGGGCCTCCCGGACCGCGGGCCGGAAGGAGGCGCCCCTGCTCTGCCCTGGGGCTGGGCCCCCTCCAACCCCGCCCTATCTCTGGAGGTGGCGCCTGGGGTTGCACTGCCAGAACTGTGTCAAGAGAGCAGAGCGAGATTAAAGAGCGAGAAAGGAGATGCCCTTCCCCTAGGCCTGGATGATTTGGGGAGCTGGGCCCCTCTGTCTCCAACCTGGTCCCTTCCTGAGCGAGGCTAAGGCAGGCGGTGATGCCCCTTTCCTGACAGCCTCTGCACTGCCTCGGCTATCTGGGCCTGGAAACCCCGAACACTCCGTCTCACGGGGTCAGAGGGTGGGAGGTTGGGAAACGGGAGGCCACCGGACATCTCCTGGGACTCAGGATCTTGATGCCCACTCCTAATCCCTCATGGAATATTAATTCCCCACCCTCAGAGAGCTCAGGGACCGGTTGGGGAGATGTTCAGTAAACACCTATGTAAGACATCTACAGCTGTTGACAAGTGCCGTGCAGGAGATAGGGTGATATGTTAGTTTCTGGAGGCGCTGTTTAAGTCGGTGGTCAGAGAGGACCTCCCTGAGATGGTGGCATTTGAGCATAGTCCAGAATGACAAAGAGGTTCCATCCCTGAAGAGAGCTGGAGGAGGCAAATCCCAGGCCGAAGGAACAGCCAGTGCCAAAGCCCCGAGGTAGAACGGCTCGGCGTGTTCCTGGAACAGGAAGCCTCGTTGGGGAGGGGAGCTGGCAGCGGCGGGAAGGCTGCCCTGGCCCCATTTCCCGGAGGAGGATGCCTGAGGTCGCCGCCTCCTCCTGCTGGCTGCCAGCAAGAGGCGGGAGCGATACCAGGCCGGCGGCCGCCAGGTGGCGCGCAAGCTGCGTGGGCCCTGGTGGCCGCAGCCACGTGACCCCGGGGACCGCAGCCGCGAGCCAAAGCACGTGCCCGAGGGAGCCCTGTGGCGCCACGCGCAGATTGGCCCCTTAGGCGCCTCACCAGCTCGTGGGGGCGGGGCCGCAGCTAGGCTTCATTTTACACTTTGGATCGGGGTTTATTCTAACCAGGGACAGAGGTATCGGCGAGGATGAGCAAGTCCGGCCGTTGGGGCCACCCACGCGAGCTCCCCAAGTCCCCCAGGGCCCAGTCCCCTTCGCTGCAGCCAGAGCCAGCAGTTTCCATGGAAACCGCAACCGGGTCTTTGCGCCCAGGAGTAGCTCCGCTCACGGCACAGGCACAATTTGCAATCCGACAGGAGCCGGGAGGGACACCAGGCGGGGAACCAGCCACCGCTCGGGGTCCCTAGGTTCGACAGCCAGGTCGCCCCGGCAAACTCAAGAGGGGCCACCCGGGGACCTGCAACGCCACCGCCCAGATTGCGCGGGCCGCGATGATTGGCCTGTTCTCTCCATCAGCGTGGCAGTGCTCTCTGCTGCGCGCTCTCTCATTGGTTCAATCTCGAGGGCATCCTCCTGCAATTGGTTCTCTCGAGGGCAGGCCTTGATTGGTCAAACTAGGCTCTCTTGCTGAGTTTGAGGGCATTCTCCGACAGTCTGGAACCTAAAAGGGCGTGCAGGGACGAGGTTAGGGTGGAGGCTGCGACTCTCGGATTAGGGGTCTCTGGCTACCCAGCCCACGGCGCTCTCGGAGAGAACGTCGGGCCGCTGTCTGTGGTGCTGAAGTCTCAGTCGAAGGCGACCCTGCCTTAGTGAGGACTCTTCCTCCCGCCTGATAGCCGTCCCAACGTAAATGTGCCCTTCAGCCCGCTCACCAAAAGAGGCTGCACCAACTTCTGTCGCCTGAGAGAGAAGCCAGGTTCCCCCTAGCTGAAAGAAAGCGTGACTCCACAGGCAGACCAATCACGAGCCCGAAAAGCCAGGACATTTACACAACAGCTCTGCCCACCCAAAATTTATGGGGGTCTCAGAAGGCCCGGTGGTTTTCCGGAAACACAGGGCACCAATGGGTTTTGCCTGAAATCCTAAGCCCCAAACTTTTTCACCCGCTTTGGAGAAGTACCGAGTGCCCTTGCGCTGTGGAGTGCCAGTCCCCACCTTTCGAACCCACCTTTTGAACCTATCCCATTCAAAAGCCTCAGGGTCACAGTTCCTTCTGTAGGCAGACGAGAGCCCCTGCCACCCCCATCCTTCTCCACTGGTCTTGGGAGGCTACACCCGATGCCTCCAAAATCTGCGGACCTAGGCCTCTGCTCATAGAAATCTTGGTTCCTCGTCCCTTTCCAGTCTTCTTGATGGACAGCAACTCCGGAAGTTCGTACAATCGGTCCACGGATCTCCCTCTTTGCTCCAACAGCTCAGGTCGTTGGACAGAGGAGGGGAGCCTTCCCTGTCTTCCGGGCAGAAAGCCCGCCCGAGAAGGGGCGGAAATGCAGAAAGCAGGGGCCACGGGGGCAGAGGGGCCCGAAAATGGCAACCAGAGCCCCCAGGGAGTGCTTTCTGGGGGTGCGGAGTCTTAGCCAGCTCGCGCTCTCTTCCACCTGCCGCGCCGTCGGGCGCCGCGAGGAGGCGGGGCTCAGCTACCGCAGCCAATAAGCGACGCCGGCTCTGGCAGCTGCTCCTATAAAGGGCTGGGGGCGGCGGCGGCGCGGCCCAGAGCGCGGAGCGCGCAGCGCGGGCTGGAGGGTGGGAGGGAGGGCGGGCGAGGGGAGAAGACTGAGCATCCAGGACCGGACAGGCCGGGCCGGGGGGCGGCGGCGAAAGGCAGAGCGCCGCGATCTCTGTCAGGAAGCGCAACCTCCCCGGGCCCCGCGGGGCCGCGCAGGGGGCGTTCTCAATCCCGCGCCCGCTCCCTCTTTCCATCCCCTGCCGCCCGCAGGCCACCCCGGGGCCCGGCTATCCGCGCGCGCGTCCTCGGGCTCGGGCCCGTCCCCGGCCCTCGAGGGAGCCGCCGCCTTCATCGACACCTCTGCAGCGGCCGCGCCAAAGGCCGCCCGGGCGGGACCCCGGAGTGAGCATCGAGCGCCCCCCAAGGAGTGCACGACCCCCGGAGCCGCCCTCAACACGGACCGCGCCCGCCGGGCACACAAGAATGGTCACTGTAGGTATTCCCTTGTCGCTGAGAGAGAACCTGGGTGGGGAGGGGTTAGGCACAGCCTCCGCGGAGATGGCGGGTGGGGGGGGGGGGTAGGACCAGGCCTAGCTAGGCCCCGGTGGGGGGGTAGGACCGAGCCTCGGGGCCTGAGAGTGGGCAGGACCGCACCCAGAGTGCTGGGGGCGCATAGAGTCTGGTCTGAGAGGCCTTAGGAAGCCGAACTCTGATTTGGGGAGGCGTCCTACGGCGTCCTGGGGGCGGGATTGCCCCCCTCCAGCAAGCCTGATGGGGGAGGGGCCGCAGCAGCGGAGGATGCCTTCTCCATCCAGGCCCGGACCCCGCAGGCCGCCCAGGCAAACGCAGGGCTCCTATCACTGGTGCTGGGCCAGGACAAGGCGGCAAGCCGTTCCCGAGAGCCCCGGGGAATCGGGTGGCGTCGGATCGCGCGCCCCGGGCCGCGGCCGCGCCCGGGGAGCCGGGCGTCTCGTCCTCGAGCCCGTCGACCTTGCGGCAAGCGGGGAGGGGAGAGGAGGGGGCGCGCCCGGAGGCCCCGCGGGCCCGCCGCCGCTGCCGCCGCGTCCCTTTGTTTCTCGGAGCTTCTTAGCGGGCCGTAGCCTCGCGCGGGCGCCTCAGGCTTCGGGGAGGGGGAGGGGAGAGGAGGTCCCGCGGGGGGGGCTTCCTGGCTCCTGGGCCCCCGCCCCACGGGGGATG